AAAATTCACTGAAACCTTAGCCTTATATAGTCTAAGTTACCTTATACTGTGCAATTGGAACGTTAACCACCATAAACACATACCTGTCTTACTATTACTAGAAATCATGTGGGAAAAGACTAAGCAGTTGTAAAATGATTTATGAAGGAATTCAAGTTAAGTAAAACTTAAAGGAGAAAACAGATCTATTTAGCAACAGATAAAGAACAGAAATGAAAATGATGAATAGAAATAAGATTCTTGGAGCAAACAGGCAAGGCTCAATGGAAAGAGACAGAGAAGAGGAAAAAAAAAAAAAAGAGAAAAGAAAAGCAGGGAAAAGACACACACATCAGATATTGCAACAAGTTCCTACACGTGCCACAAAGAAAGCAGTAGAGATTTTACCTGTAAAACTTGCACAAAAAAGGTTGTATTCAGAGTAAAACAAACAACGAACCCCCAACATAGCAACCACTCACTCTCCAGTCCCCCAAAACACACAGAACAGCAGCAGTATCTTCGGACTACCGTGACTTCTATAGTTCTATCCTAAATGATGAAAGTGTATTATTGACACTAGCACACAGAATCTCTTGTGTTTTATGACAAAGGCCAATACAACAAAAATAAACATAAGTACTAAAAGAAATTATCATTCACTCAAAATATATTGCAGACGTTCAACGAAGTAGGTAACACCTGACCAGGTTCTGTGAATTAACAGCGTATCTCTTTTTACCTGTAATTCTTTTTGGTGTCGTCGATGACGATGAAGATGATCTTCATTCTGCCTGATCTCACTCTCAATGCAATGCAGACGTTGCTGAGATGTTGTCAACTGTGCCTTTTTGTTTTCAATTTCTTTCTCCAAGTGACTTAAAGAAACGTGTTATTTTTACATACATATGCACACACACATTACATATATGCACACAGAAAAAGATACACACAAATAAAAAAATGAAACACATAACAAAACTAAAGGGTACAAAAGGACCAAGAAATGTCTAAAAAAAAAAATCAGGTACTGTCGTGCACTGGATGGTTTTAATGACCAATAAAGAAATACCAAAGGTACACAGTAGAACTCGTAGTTGATAACCAGCAGATAGTTGTTTGATGGACTCAGTTCAGTCTCTAGTGGGTAAAGCAGTCACAGAATTTCAACCATGTGTGACCTTTGTTAGCAATTTCGCAACCCGCCCAAATATTTGAACTAAATAGTGCTATTACTTTTAAAAATAGTACTGCATGTGGAGGAAAAAATACATACTTTAACTAGAGCAAAATACTTCCCATTAGAGATAAAAATACATTAACAGAGATGTAGAAAATTTTATTTTATTACTTATACTTCTCCTTCAAAAAGGCATTCCGTCTCCGTATTAAATTCTTTCAATTTGTGATATTTTGCATTTCAAATGGATGTAAAGGTATTTATGATTAGTATTATTATTTATAGGCAGCAAAACTCTGATAAAGTCTTTTATTGCTGGGAAAAAAAGAGACTTAACTAATATTACAGTAAAAAGCCTTTAGGTAAGTGTTAAATGCAGTCTGGTACAGATAAGTGAAATGGACTGATTAAGTCTGATCCCCAAAATCAGTGTTTTGTAAATTGCATATATCACTTCAAATAAATATGTCGTTCCTTCAGTTTAAGTTCTGAAAAAAATATTTTTCCCTTTAAACGGACCAACATCATTTTCCCATTCCAATATTGGTAAGGAAATCAGTGTAACACTTTGGAAGTTATCAAAATAATCTTCAAATGACTTCCATTACATACTGACATGAATAAAATACAGCTGGCTGACACATTTAAAGCTTTCAGGTTTACAGAAACAAGGTTTTAACACTCAGTCTACGCTATCAGCTATTAACGTTGAAAACAAAATACTTCCTTGCTGCGTCTGTAATACAAACTGTGCCTCAAAATAAAAGTATTCTAGTGGCATTAATTTGCTTGGTGAAGGCTCAAGTTTCTGTCTTTGAAATCTGCTAGTTTTTTTCAAACTACCATTTTAAAAGTAAGCAGACAAAAACAAACTGGCTTATCAAAGACACTTACCATTAGTGCCAGGGTAATTTGGTTTGAATAAATACGTTCCCTTTGCAGTAAATTAAGGTACCACTCTTCAGTTCTCAGACTTTTAAAGAAATAGCTTTGATTCCACAGCACTCTTAGTAGGTGTAAAATAGATAGCTAGACTTTCTGAGTATTCAGCCCAACAAATCTCAACTCTGGAGAGCATTTACAGGCATTAAGTTGAAACACATCTATGAAAAACTCAGGCTTATTATACTATCACAGAAAGACATTGAAATAAAGAAGTTTTCCAAAATTCTCAACAGGGAAAAAAAAAAAAAAAGTAAAACTTAAAGAAAATGGAGACAGAGGAAAGTCCTGTCAATATATAAGATTACAGGGTGGGTGGGTCGGTCTGTGTTTCTCATGCACATATATCCAAACAGACATATAACCTATTCTAATATTAACTTTAACAAACGTATTTTTTTCAAATAAATACAGCATTAGAAATGCTAACCTTATTTCTGCTTCAACATCCTTGCTCAGGTACTTGGGTCTGAGGTAGTCAGAGGAGTAATATCGTCTTTCAAATACCTGATCGCCTTCAGCAGTGAAAGCTTCTCTACAATTTTTGGGGGGCCTCCGCATTACTTCACGGGCTTTACAGCTACTCTGAAAAATACAATGACCTTATTATATCTATAGAAAAATAACCATAATTAAAGATTCCCATCAAAAATTTATTTTAAAATGCTCACTTAGAAAATATGTGCATTCCTATTGAAAAATAATAAATACAGCGATGAAAGAGCAATGGGAAACAGCTTAACATGTAAAGAATTTACATTTCTTTGTTGAGTAAGACATTTACGTTCTCAAAAAAACCCACCACTCAGTTTAGCTGCCGTTTTCTTTCATTTTCTTTAAATGTTACAAAACTATATAAATTGTAAATTCCATAGTCTGATCAGACTTTCATAACTTCTCACTGGAAAAATTACCAGCCAAAGGTCACTAAGCACTAGGTACATTTAACTATCAAAAAATGGAATACATGTACAGGAAATACTTCACAGCCTGCTTTTAGAGATTATATCAAACAACATTCAACTAAAGTTTGGGGAAATCTGCTGCTGAAAACCACTGCCAGCGCTGGATCAAGTGGTCACAAGTGCCACTGTCTAAGGAAATTAGTTTTTATACAATCACGCTGCCCATTCAGAAGTCTCATTTCTTCCAGGCAATACTTGTTCCACATTTTTCAGACACGGTTCAAATTGTTATGGTAAGTCGCAAAGATAATTAAAACAGTGAGTGTTATGAAAGTCAGTATATTAGGTAATATAATAGTATGAATACATGTAGTATATAATAATAGAAATAAAATAACTAAAGATAATAAATTAGAAGGCAGAGAGGGTATAAACAAAAGTAGCACTGCTACTATGAGAAGAGCATGGGGACGGATCCTGGAAACGGGCACAGATCCTGGAAACGGGGTTCCAGAGAGACAAATTTTGGGGGATACCCAGCGACCTTAGACAGTAACACCCGAAACAAGGAACGGCAAGTAGCTGCACAGCAAGAACCAACGCTTTGCCCCTGACCATCCTGGAACAGCAGCAATCTTTCACCGGAGAGGGAAGCTGACACCTAGTGAACGCAATGCTGTGGGGAGGGAGCAAGCACTTGTGTGAAATAATCAAAGTAGAATAAAAGCTCTAACCTTGCTGTTTCTTAAATAAACCCCCAAATCCACTGCCGGTTGTCATTTTACTCTATCTTAACTGCGACAGAAGTCAGTATCCTACTTCGGACACTGCTAATTCACTGAATCTCAAGACCATAGCCTCAAACGTAGCCCTCTGGTAGGAGCGTATGTAGCTGTGCGCTCCATTATAATACTGTTACAGTCAGGGTTTATTGAGCCAGTGAGAGTCTCACTTCACCACAGTGTCTAACTATTACTCTTCTGGGGCAAAAACTCTCCTTTACTTCTTTTGTCAATTGCAGGCACTATCAATGAAGGTATTTTATAAGCCTCATACACAAAAACAATATCCTTTAAAGGCCAGTAGGGAGCAGGGAGTCTTACTTTAATTAGCAGGACTGTTTCAATGCTCCTTATGTCGATCAAACAATTGGCAACCACTGCATCATCTATTTCCAATGCTGTGAGAACCGACGGGAATTCTGGATGATGAACTCCTCTGAAGAAAGAAGTAAAAGTAACCATTTATAAAGTTCACGTGAAATTCTTTAAAACAAGATTATAGATATTTCCTTCCAACTGATAATAATTTGAACCACTGTGCCTAAGCAATAAAACTTAAAATATAGCTTACCTGTGTCTAACATCATAAACTTTATCCTGAAATTTATTTACAATTATTTGCGGTCGAAACCCATGTGGATAATATTTTGACATCAGTATCTGAAGATTTCTTTCATCATTATGATTATCACAGCAAAATGCCTGAACTAGGCTCTTTAAACAAGATTCAACAGCCAAAGTAAGTTCAGGATCTTTCAGATGAATGAAAGCACCTGAAGAAACATAAAAGACAAAGCTTTAAGGAGCTGTATTCCATAATATAAGTCCAATAGTCATTTTAACACTTTTTTTTGTTTTGTTTTTTTTAAATAAAAAAATCCTTAAACAGTCCTTCCTCGCAGAGAGGAAAAATAAAAATTTAAAATTACCTGGCCGGGGGTGGGGGGGCACCTTGCACATTCTCACTACACAGTAAATACATGGTTCTTTGCCTTTTACATTTACATCTACATTATGCTGAAACTCCCATTCCCATCACCAACTGAAAATAGCATTCAGAGCTGGTCAAAGTAGTAATGCAACCAGATTTTCCAGGAAAATTTCAATTTGTTCAGCTGAAGCTGCTCCAGATGAAGCATCTTAAAGTTGACCAGTCCCTAAGACAGCCACTGGATACTTTGAATAAAAGTGTGTCAAAATGCAGGACAGTGCTATCCCACCTAGCAATGATCAGCTAATGCACAGTAGTCTGATGCCCAATTTAAACCTATTACATGTAAGTAACTGTCTATGTACAGATACAGAGCTCTGTTATAACATGCACAGGACGCTTGCATCACAGAATGAATTGTAACTGTTGTGCACTGAAACGATAAAAAAAAATTCACCTTAGATCGTACACAGTCACAGCCACCTACGTGGCCACCTCTTTCAATTGTATTGTTTCAATAACTAAATTGAAATTTGTAACAGTTCTTTGTAGAACACAACAAGCAGAAAACATCAGGATTTTCCGTTTGCCTGATCTGCATCAGAACCATGAACTAGAAACACTGCTTCTTCTAATAACTCTATTTGCCAGTCTCCTGAATCTCTTAGAAGTTCTCTACATTACAATGCTTCACCGCGAGACCCCATACATCCTCTTCATAAACCATTCCCCTACTGCTAAGGGAAATGCTTTTCAGGAAAGAGGCCTTTCTGCATCGTGTCTCACCAAGCAGGTTGCGCCAAGAGCTTACAATGAGATTTGACACGGCAGTCAGTGAAGTAGCACGGCCTAATCAAACAGCAAGATCTTCAGCTATGTAACTTTTCTACGAGAGACTTTACAAACCCTTTCAAGCATCAGAATTCAAAGCACTCTTTTTCTGTGGGACCATTTAAAAACATATGTTACGTTATCTCTGGAAAATAGACCACGAGAAAGGTGACTTGAAAGCCATACTATTACTGGAGAATTCTTCAGAAGAAGATTCCTCAGACTCAGAGGAGAATAACTTCTTGAAGATAACACAATCTTCTCCAAGTCCTACAGCCTTCTCCCAGAAGCCATACAAATATCACACACCATTTAGCTACATGCCCTTCCACTAGTATAAGAGTGCCTTTTATGTCGCCTAAATTCAGGAACAGAGAACATTAAATCCCCTAAACTCAGTTTTCCTAAATAGGGGAAAGCCTAGAGGGCTGAAAGAAAGCAAGAACTGTAATGAGTCGTGAAACCACATCAAAGCTGTGAGGAGAGAGGTGCAGGCAGGAAGTTCACTGTTGTGACTACTTAATAAGTAAACACCTGGACAAACAGCTGCAAAAAATGAGGAAGATCAGATGCTAGCTGGTTCACATGATTAAAAAGAACAGAGGCAACGGATAACTTACCTAGATAAAAACTTCAGGCCAGGAAATACAAGAGAAAAGAGCCTGAGATATATTTTTCCTTAAATGACCTCTCTCC